CGTTCTGACAGGAAGAGCTGTTCAACAGCGGAATGGACTCCCTTGGAAGGTGGTGGACTCTCCTTCATGGGAGGTTTTTAAGCAGAGATTGGATGGCCATCTGTCATGGATGCTCTAGTTGAAATTTCTGCATTGCAGGGAGTTGAACTAGATGACTCTTGGGGTCCTTTCAACTCTATGATTCTATATCATTGACAACAGTCCCTGCCTTAGGCTTACAAGGCATGGCACAAAAGGAAAAGAAATTGGGAGGGAGGGAGGGAGGGAGGGAGGGAGGGAAAGAAAACAAACCTAGATGCTGCAGGTGTCCAGCTTAGCCAGTCCTTCAGCACTTGGCATCTGTTACAATCCTGTTGGAGTGCAGAGCCATGCAGCCTATGGCATAATTTGCCTGGCTGCTTAGCATGAGGTGATAAATAAGGTGCTGTTTTGTTTATTTTTACACTTCAATTTCAGACGGAAGCTGCAACCGTGCAGCTAAATCCAAGAGTGAAGTACCCATGAAGGGATTGTGCTGGTGGCCAATGGCAGGATAACTGCAGGGCCCCGCCTCCTCCTTGTAGGTGCCTGCGGGAGCCAGTTGGTGCTGTTCTGTTGCTTGTCAATTCGGTACCATATATAGTTATGAAGAAGGGGAGAGATTTGCATTGCAAAGTCTGTTTTATTGCCGTAACAACCTCAGGGTTTATGAGACATATTCAGAAGTGCCTTAAGCAGGCATATGAGAAATGGCAAATAGGCCAGTGGCCTTTTGAAGACCAATAAATGCGTTGTTGTGTGAGCTATCATGGGCAAGAGAGTCCTTCATCTGCGGACAGAGAACTTGTTAGATGTTTATGAACACAGATTTGAGGAAGCAGAGAGCCCACCGCTACACAAGAAGAGAAAAAGGAAATATCCCCGAAGCTTGGGTACATTAATTATCTAACTCAATCACTAGGCATCAATAAAAATTGTCTCAGGCATGCATCTTCTTTGCAGGCTGGTGCTGATAGGTTTAACCTATTTGAATGGTCTGCATCTTTGCTGTTTTCACTACACAGCTACCCTTCTGGATTGTTAAATTCAAAGGTCAAAGGTGTACACTTAATTTACTAAAGTCAACTCCGCACCTTATGACTGTAGAGACACTAGTGTTGTGCACCAGCAGTTTCTTCAGCAAAACCTGAAGTGTGGCTAATGCATGCTTGCACTTCTTTAAACTTCCTAATTGGGTTCAGGTTTCTAGGCATATTTATGTCAGTGTTTAAAGAGACAGGTTTCCTCTCAAAATACCAGAATAAAAGCAGTGGGTTTTCTGCAGTAACTGTAACTTGTAGAGATGATGTACATAGCCTGCTGCTTTATAGACGTCAGTTCTGGGATATTGGACGGTACTAATGTTTGTTAACAAGACATTTTGCTCTGTGGGGAGTGCATTGCTCATAAGGTCATATGTCTGTTGAATTCTGAACGTAGCTAATTGTACTTATGATTCCCTCCCACAGAGAAAAAATCTGAAGCGATGTGACCTGCCTTTTGTTGACTGAGTGCACGTACAGTGTGCATTCTGGGTTTATAATACATTCTCTCCAAAGGATTTTCTTTACTGAACAGTGTGGACTTGCCTGTGCTTCCTCTCTTTGTTTGTATGCATTCACTGCAGCCAGAGCCCTTTCCAGTTCCTTCCTACAGTAGATTGACAACTGCGCATGAATAATATTGATGTCTCAGCTTTTCACCCAACATGGCATGAATGGCTTCCCTCTGAGTTACAGATTATCTGCTGTTGTGTGCAATACTAGTAATAAGGTCACAAACACAATTCTTTTCTTTTGGTGAGCATGAATTCATCAATTTTAAGACAAATGAGCAGTTCCAGTTGCAGCATAGTAGATAGAAATCCATTCAATGTGACTTGTCCCCAATTTATACAAAGAACACATCCTAATAGCTGTGAAAATTCATTTGAGTCAGACTTTGAGAAGCCATAAAAAACAACAGGACCAGAAAGAAGCAGAATTAAGTTCTTCTTCAGCAGCTGCTCCTGATTTATTTTGGGGCCTGTTGACTTGACTGGTAATTTCATCACTCTCCTCATCCACTGCTTAATTTTACCAGGAGAGTGCTGCTGTCAACTCCCACATTCACTTCAGCAGCTGATGCTGGATAGCTGCTGGAACCAGAATCTACTGTGTTTAAGTGCAACTTTGGGAAAATCCTAACCCTTGATGATTCCCAGCTGCTTTGACCTGTCCCTAGCTAGCATTGTGTGCATGCAGCGCCGCATTCTGAACTTGGTCATTACTAACTCAGATTGAAGGTAGCAGTAATAGCATACCATAATCAATATTCAGCAGATGACAGGCATGCACAGGACCTGCTCAGCTTTCCTCACAAGTGAAATTTTCTTTTTTCTTTTTTCTAATAACTTTTTATTCAAAATTAAAACAAAACACATTATCCAGAAACATATCATCCTTATTCCCCCCATTTTTTCTCCCTCCCCCTCCTATCCCCACAGAACCCACCCCCTACCCCCCGACTTCCCTCAGTTCCAGTCTTTGATTTCTCTAAAAATGCTGTTTTCTGCATGTTACACAGTTGTATAGATCCTCAAACTATTTAGCTGATTGTTATCAATAACAAGTTTGTGAATGTTTATTCAAAACTAGCCAAGGAGTCCAGTTCGCTTTATTGTATCTTCAAATACTTTGTAAAGGATTCCCATTCATCTTTAAAGTCACAGTTATCCTTGTCCCGTAGCTTGTATGTCAGTTTCGCCAGTTCTGCATAATCCATCAATTTTTCTTGCCATGATTCTTTAGTTGGGGTTTCTTCAGTCTTCCATCCTTGTGCTATTAAAACTCTCGCGGCCGTTGTCGTTTACATTTTCTTGAATGGTTGTGAGAATAGACCTCTAGTACCCCATTACTGTTGTTTGATGTGAGTATGGCTTCATGCTCTTTGTTGTATTTGCAAGCGGGCTGGTAGAAAAGCATATCCCCATTTCTTTCAATGCAAAAGAGATGGTGCTATTTTATACTGGATGGCAGAATGCTCATCATTATGATTGGCAGATGAGTGTGGAGAGAGGACCTGTATATTGCAGCACCCCTGGTATAGGAGGGGTAGGAAATGAATTTCTGTGTGTGGTGTTATGCATAATGTTTTGCATAAAACCCAACCTCAAGGAAATAGGGAGACACTTTTTTGGGGGGCGGGGACATAAGAATGCCACATTCTATTTCAGCAAGGAGCAGAGCTGTTGCATCAGATACTTTGGGATGTTCCAAGTGGGTGCAGAGTTCTTGCCCATCTCACAAAAATGTGCCATCTTCGGTCCAGACTCTTAGATCTTCATTGCTTCACTATCTGGGGATTAGTTGCTCAAGCCTCCTTCTTTCACACACTGTCAGTCAACACATGGTCAGAGAGACTTTAGTCCTGCAGTACTGGTGATCAGATATGTGCTGATCTTGAGCTGCTCTTCGGCAGCGGCCGGGAGCGTGGGCTGGCTGCATGTTATTCCTTTTAGTTCCAAGGAAGTGAAGCACCTCGGTTTTTGATGTGCGTCTTTGTCCAGTTTTGTTTTGAAGTGTTGAAATACCAAGCGTCTTGGATAAGTTTAATATTGCCTCTTCTTGCTGCTTCCCTGGTAGCAGTGTTCTTTCTCTAAAGCCAAACATTTGTTTCTCACTCGCACTGTTTACAATGGATTCTTACTGCACAGAGGTCATTAAAGACTAATATACTTAGAGGACACAATATTGTAGAAATGATGTAAAGGCTGTTTTTAAAGTAAGTACATACATGGAGTACATTATATTAACTGACATTACTGTGAACTGCCCCGAGACCTCTGGGTATAGAGTGGTATGTAAATTCAATAAATAAATTGACACATGCATCATGTGAACATACCTAAGATCCCTGTCAATAAGGTCTGGGGCATTGGCACTCAATGTAAGGGACACTGAGCATGTTCTGTGTTCCCATGTTTCTGTAACTGTAAGCGAAAGGCATCAGTCACAACTGTGGAGGAGTGATGGAAATTTGAACCTGGATCTGTGTGTGTGTGTGTGTGTGTGTGTACACATACTAGGGGCTGTGCTATTGGTCACCCCAACACCCCGTACCACCGCCTGTTAACTCCCTAGAGCTTCCCCACCCCATGCAACTACTAAGCTTGCTTTTTACCTTCCCAGCCCCATTTCTGGGAGCCAAGTCTGGTCTTCTCTTCTGCAGCCCTTTTTGCACCCTTCTGTACCTTCATGCCTAGCTCCCCACCTCCTTGCCCTCCTTCCATGCAACCCTCCTCACACACAAGCCACCCACATGATAACCTCCGGCAGCTGCCTTCTCTTACACACTGCAACTACCAAGTACCCTTTTCACCTTCTGCCCAGTTATGAAGCCACCATCCCCGGCTTTCGGGGTCAACCCCATTCCCACACCTCCCCTTCTTGCTCCCATGCCGTGGCCACTGCTGTTGTGAGGTGATGAGCAGCCACATTAGGGCTCTCCACACATGGATCTCCTTCCACAGAAAGGCTTGCCTGGCTACGACTTGGCCATCTTTTTGCGGCAGACATTTATTTTTTGAAGCTTTTGAGCTTCTCCAGTCTATGAGTATACCTATTTTCCTCTCTCAGGTGGCGGTTCTGTTTTCTCTTTATTGTGGCATAGATGATGATTATTGTTATTGTTGTTATTAAAACCTAATTCGTATGCTGAAAGTGATCATTTTTCTTACTTTATTTCTTAATTGCTCATAATGGCACAGTAATGAATACCATCTGTTGTGTGCTTCCTCAGTGCACCACTTCTTGCTGACACAGCAGCCTCTTTTAACTCTTTCTTTTTCTTTTTCACAGATTAGAAAAAAGGAGAAGGGGGAATACGCAGCTTGGAGGAGCGGAAAGCTGTAAGCAAAACCTCTGAAACTCCTGTTGAGCTCTCTGCGCAACCCTCTAAGGTCTCCAGCTATTTGTTCAAAGGCAAAAACAATACCTCTGAGCAAAAGCCCTCCCACTTGCTCATGATAGGCTTACCCAAAATAGCAACAGCCTGTGTCACCAAAAAGGGCAAAACCTGCTGGAAGAGAAAGAAAAAGTTGCTCCCGGATCCCTCAGTAACTTCCAGATTTCACTTTGCTCCTGTCCCACGCTGCCATGGACAGAAGAGCCAGAGGCACCAGATTTGACAGCAAGGGTGAAACGCTCTCGCTGTAGAGCCTCTCGTCATCGCTGGGAAGTAACCAAGTTGGCAAGCTGTTTTTCTACAGCCATGGTACCTGCGCAGGACACAGAGGACCTCAGCCAGCAATGTCAGAATATAGGAGAGGAATGCAGCAATTGCAGCCTGCACAAGCTTCCTGCTCAAACAGGTACAGCCACATAGTCTGAGTGACAATTGTGCCTACAGGGCAACAGATGGTGATAGAATGTGACTAAAGTCCTAGCAACAATAAACACAAGAGCCAAAGGGACAATCTTTTCTTTCTTTCTTTCTTTCTTTCTTTCTTTCTTTCTTTCTTTCTTTCTTTCTTTCTAAAATAATCCTTCAGTCTTTAGGCTTTCTAATTACAGTGGTACCTCGGGTTAAGAACTTAATTTGTTCTGGAGGTCCGTTCTTGACCTGAAACTGTTCTTAACCTGAGGTACCACTTTAGCTAATGGGGCCTCCCGCTACCCCCACGCCGCCGCCGTGCAATTTCCGTTCTCATCATGAGGTAAAGTTTTCAACCTGAGGTACTACTTCTGGGTTAGCGGAGTCTGTAACCTGAAGTGTCTAACCCAAGGTGTCTGTAACCTGAGATACCACTGTATTGATATACAAGGAAGAGCTCTTTTTGAAACTAACAGTTTTATAATGTTAGATGTTCATCACATTTATACCTCCGCTTTCAGGGAACTAGGGGAAGTAAACACACAGGACCCCAGTAATCTCATTTATTTTCTCAGCATCACTGTGGTGTACTTAAGAGATGGTGGCTAGTTGGGACTTTGAAAAGCCTTTTGGCTTTCTGGCTTTTCTTATGGGGCTTGCAATTTTTATTTGTTTATTTATGAATTTCTATATCCTGATTTTGCAGCTCTGTCGCATTAATCATTGGAGCACCACTGTTGCCCTTGATGGCTGCTGGCTGGTTGGGTTGTGCTGTGAAAACAAGTCTATAGACCAACGTTTCCCAAACTTAGGTCTCCAGCTGTTTTTGGACGACAGCTCCCATCATCACTAGCTAGCATGACCAGTGGTCAAGGGATGATGGGAACTGTAGTCCAACAGCTACAGACCCAAGTTTGGGAAACCCTACTCTAGACTTTATAAAATATGCTTCTCTTCTATGTTTCGCCAGTGATTTTGGCTTTGGTTTCTAAGCACACCAAGAGCAGTGTAGCTATTTCTAGATTTTTTATTTATTTTAATTTTTTTAAAAGAACCTCAGTGTCAGTGTTGCTTTAGTTTGTTTATCCCACATGTTGTTCATTCTTGGTCTTTCACTGACTTCCAAGCTGTCGAGTTCCAAAAGTAACACAAAACAGCTACATGGGGTAAATACATTCACACAGAATGTACTGGTGCTGAATAAGGAAAATCCTGAATAAGGATTATACTTTAATCCACTGATCTTGGGGCCTTTTCATTTGACAACTGAAAGTGAATTTTAAGTGTTAAACTTTTTCAGTGCCTGCTCACACTTTTGTGTGTTTCTTATACATACAGAAAGTAGTTTTAAAACAAAATTAGCCATGGATTTATAAAGTGCACTCTCTTAAAAGACATTTTACAATGCACACAATTGCTAATAGGAACTTGGCTGAATGGCAGTCAACCTGTAAAATACGGTACTTTATGCAGTGAGAACACTGGGTGCTGCCTTTCACCAAGTCAGACAATTGGTACATCAAGTTCAGTACTGTCTATGTTGACTGGTAGTGACACCAGGATTTCAGACATGGGTCTTTTCCTGTTTCCGACCTGGAAATGCAAGGTATCTGCTCTGGGATCTGCTGCATGAAATACATGTGTTCTCTGGCTGAGTTACAGCCCTTTACCTGAAGGAGACCTATGTTACTTTGAACAAATCCATTGTGGTTGGAATAGAGTAGAGCAAAAGCACGGCTCGCTGACTAACTTGAACACGGAACAGCAACGCTCCCAGTCTGTTGTGGCTCCTACTTGTCAGTTATAATTCTTGTAGGGGTTTATGCATCAAGATGCATTTTAATTATAACATTGTGGTTTTGTAAGGAGGAATCTTGAGAGTTTTAATGGTCCATTGAAAAGCTCAGGTGTGATGTTTTGTATGATGGTTAGCAGAGATTTAGGTTTGTTGCATTAAGGTAAGTCCTTTACTTGTTTTAAAAAATGGGTTGTTTCATTATAATTAGCGATTATGTGTATATTATCAGAATAAGTTCTTTGCTGTTTGGCTTTGCTTTTTAGTTTCAGTTATTTACTTATTTTTATCCTGCATTTTATTCTGTGAACTGCCCTGGGATCTTATAATGAAGGGTGGTCTATAAATCTAATAAATAAATAGGTTCCTGTTAAATTGCTTTCTCTTCCCTTCTCCTTTTCACTACCACTTTGAGGCTTTGCCTCTTTCTTTTATCTTTTCTGCTTTCTTGTGATTGGTGCTGCCCCTACCCCCGTCCTGCCCCCACCCCCTTTCCCAACTTCTGACCCACCGATCCAAATGCAGCCCACCTGTCATGAGAAACAGCCCACCAGATATTCGGCAAATCTCTTCTTGTTGCCTGTCTGAGATTGCCAAAACAAGGAGTGTAAGGAGGTTGTCAGGCCACAATGCACTGTTGTACACCTGATAGGCCACAATGTGTCCGCAGGGTGGTCCCACTTTGTGAGGTTGAGATTTGGGCAGGGCGACATGAGAAAGATGCAACAACCATGTGCCCTTTGGTCCAAGCCCCTTGGGGAGGGGGAGGCTGTGATCAAAGGGCGCACGGCGTCCTTCTCATGCCACCCTCCTCAAGCCGCTTTGTGAGGCTAGGAGTTGATCAGATCCCAACCTCTCAAAGTGGTGCAGGGCTGGCTCAAAGAGGGGGATATGAGCATCTCTCCCCAGAAAATGCGCCTGAGGCAATTGCACCAGCATCTCCACCCCCACCCCACCCCCGTTATCCTATCTAGTAGTCAGCCTACATTCCACGACCAGAGCATGCTCAGTTCTCGCAGCAACACTCCCCCTTCCCCAGAGGATTTTTCCTGAAGCTTTATATATAAAGATATACACTTCTGCAAACCTTGGGTTCCCCCCCAAGTCTGTCAGTAGTCTTCTTATTGTATGCGTCTGGTGCCTTTTTGGCTGCGTTAGTTATGGCACTCACAGCCTGAATGTTGCAAACAGAGGGAGTGCTGTTTAATTAACCTGTGGAATTATCCAGCCCAAGACACGACCATGGCAACCAACAGGATTTAGGCACGTGATTCAGAACTATTAATCATAATAACTGAACTAAACCTGGCTTTTAGGAAGAAACAACATGAGATCCATGATTTTTCAGAGCCACCTGACTTGAAACTGAATGCAGTTCTAAATGGCCCATGCTATGGCCCACAATGCAATTTTAATTTTATTTATTTATTATTTAACCATTTATATCTTGCCTTCTTCAGTTTGGCCTGAAGCCTGGTTTACAATAAAAATTAAAACACATGTGTGCAAAGTACAAAAACAAAACCATAAAAGCAGTAATTAAAAAACCATTGAGAAAACGAGCTGGCCGAGCTGATCTTAAAATTACAGTATGAGTGCAAATTTAAATAAGTCAAGTATTACATGATCAGATGGGCACAGAACATGGGGAATAACTACAAAAGCAAGCATGCGAGTATTTAGGGACACTCAGACATATACCCTCTTTTTAAAATATGAAGCTTAAGTAGTTATTATTAGTAAACTATACAATTCTAATAACTGGAAGTATCAGAAACAAAGATCTGGACTGTTGTTTTTTCATCATCTTCAATGGAAATTTCATCTCTGTTGGCTTAAGAATCTTGGGCAAAGATATACTTTCTGAAAATACTAAACTAAAACTGAATATTTCTATAACCTTTATTTCCAGGATTCGGAATGCTCACTCTTCTATCATCTGGCATTGCTGCTATCAGTGGCCTTCTGATGGGTTATGAATTTGGAGTTATCTCTGGAGCTCTTCTTCAGCTAACTAGCATCCTAGTCCTTTCATGCCGACAGCAGGAGATAGTTGTAAGTGCTCTTCTCATTGGTGCCTTTCTTGCTTCGTTGACTGGTGGGATCCTGATCGACAAATATGGGAGGCGAGTTGCCATCATGCTGGCATCTGGGTTACTTGTACTGGGAAGTCTAGTGCTGATACTCTTCGCCTCATACGGACTCCTCATAATAGGGCGGATTGTGATAGGGGTTTCCATTTCACTCTCCTCAACCGCAACTTGTGTGTATATCGCAGAGATTGCCCCGCAGCACAGAAGAGGCTTGCTTGTGTCTTTGAATGAACTCATGATTGTAGTGGGCATACTTTTTGCCTATGTTTCAAATTATGCCTTTGCCAGTGTTTCCCATGGCTGGAAGTACATGTTTGGCCTGGTCATTCCACTTGGGATTCTACAAGCCATCGCTTTGTATTTCCTTCTGCCAAGTCCTCGTTTTCTCGTTATGAAAGGCTTTGACGAAGCTGCCAGCCAAGTGCTTGGAAAACTCAGGACAACCACAGACACCACCAAAGAACTTGCTATGATCAAATCTTCCTTGAAAGATGAGCACCAGTACCGTTTCTGGGATCTGTTCCATTCAAAAGACAATATGAGGACTCGGATGCTGATCGGAATCACTCTAGTGTTTTTTGTACAAACAACAGGACAGCCTAACATCTTGTTTTATGCCTCCACTGTTTTGAAAGCAGTTGGGTTTCAGAGCAATCAGGCAGCTAGTTTGGCCTCTACTGGTGTTGGAGTGGTCAAAGTGGTCAGTACAATCCCAGCCATCCTTTTCGTCGACCAAATAGGAAGCAAGACGTTTCTTATCATTGGCTCATCCCTCATGTCTGTGTCATTGTTCACCATGGGATTGATCACACTTAATATACATGTGAATGCCACTGCTGTCTGTAGAAACCAGTCCTGGGAAGATGCCACATTCCACGGAGTGGGACAATTGACCTCCACAAATGAAACTCTAGAGGAGCAATTTGCTAGCCTGGCTTCGTCCAGCACAGTTTCACAATGGAAGGCTGACATTTCTAATACAGAAAGGTGGAACAAGACCTTGTCAGTGGGGGGCAGAGCCCCCGACACAAGCCACACAGAGTCTCAGGTAGCAGCAGAAGCAATGGAAGTTCGATCAGCTCTGAAATGGCTCTCTCTGGCCTCCTTGCTTGTTTACATTGCTGCTTTCTCCATAGGACTTGGACCAAGTAAGTGTTTTTTTCAATTTATTAATTCCAAGTTGCTTTGACTGATAAGTAAGAAGAGACCACAGTGTCCATGGGCAGGAGTGGCTTGCTGGGTGGGACATGGGCTCTGTTAGACAGGCTCATCCACATGTCTCCTTGCCATACCACTTTCCCCTGGGAAAACCCACTCTTTACTGCTGAATTGGAGCAAATGTCATTTGGGTTTACAGCAGATTGAGGTTTGGTCCCATTCAGTGGTAGAGAGCAGGTTTTAATGGGGGGAAATGGCAGGGCAAATGGGATGGAACAAGCAGAAAACCTCTCAGAGCAAGGTTTCCTAGGCACAGGGCAAGCCCACCCTGCTAGCTTCCTGGCAGGTGAGTTGCTCTTGCTTACTGGGAGGGAGAGGGGAAAGGGCCAGCATGGTACAAGCACAGCAGAGGAGCAAATCAGTCAAGCCCCTTCTGTGTATGGGATTTTCGTCTCAAGCATCTGTGTGATGCCTGAAGTTTAAGAAATAAAGATGCCTATTCTGAGCTTTACTTTTCAGTGCCTTGTAGGCACAAGCTTTGGGTTTGCTTGGACAATCCTATATATATTTATTTATTATTGGTTACTTCAGGTGAGAAGGCAGAGAAAATATGTCCCTGTGAGTATCAGCTCTCCCAAATATCAGATTTCCCTCAGGGCTTGTATCTCTGTTGAGAAAACTCATCAAATCATTCAGACAGCCCAATCATATGCATGTATAAATAGAAGTTCCACAGGACTGTGCATAAGCCACACTGGGCTTCTTCCTAACATCATCTAAGTCATCAGCTGTACCTTCTGAGTCCCTTCTTCACAAAGCAGGGTTTTTTGCATTCATTAGTCCATCTGTTGCTTTTGCCTTTGGAAGTGTGCTGTATGTATTCAGCCAGGCATAGGCAAACTCGGCCCTCCAGATGTTTGGATTTGATATCCCGCTTTATCACTACCCGAAGGAGTCTCCAAGCAACTAACATTCTCCTTTCCCTTCCTCCCCCACAACAAACACTCTGTGAGGTGAGTGGGGCTGAGAGACTTCAAGAAGTGTGAGTGGCCCAAGGTCACCCAGCAGCTGCATGTGGAGGAGCGGAGACGCGAACCCAGTTTCCCAGATTACGAGTCCACCACTCTTAACCACTACACCACGCTGGCTTTGGGACTACAACTCCCATCCTCCCTGACCACCTGTTAGCTAGGGATGATGGGAGTTGTAGTCCCAAAACATCTGGAGGGCCGAGTTTGCCTATGCCTGTGTTTGGCTCTCTTTTCTCCACCCCTATTGCTTGGGGAATAATCCCTTTTACTTAGCATTCCTCAGCTTGCACCACTTCTTAATCATGCATTTCTTTCAGAGGCTTTCATATCCCATGCCTTATTCATTTCTAAGCTGTAAATCTGTCTGATCTCCACCCCCCCTATGCGTACCTTTGTAACCCAAGAAACCATTTCAAGTACTTTGAACTCTACTTTTTAAAGAAACACACACACACACACACACACACACACACACACTTTCCTTTAATAGTCTTTAAGCTGCTAGACAGAGAAGAAGAAAAGTCAGAAAACCAAGTTAATTCTTTGCTATATTGTTTAGATTACAGCCACATAGCTGCATCTGTTACGGTGGCAAGGGTTAAGGTCAAAAAGGAAAGTTCTTAAATGAATTTCTCAGGTATATGTGCTCAGGAGAAAACAGTATGTATTGTCCCTTATCTGCAAACATGCATAGCTCAGTGAAGTTAATGGAGCTGGGAAGTCTGGAGTCTTTAGCTCTGGCTCAGTGCCTGTTTCAGAGGTAGTCTTCTCCTCCAAGGTCAGAAGCACACTCTGCATAGGCCTGTTGGGAATATAGCTTGGATGCCCACAATAAGAAGCCAGAGGGTTTCACATAAGAGCTGAAACAGAGCAAGTTTTGTTCATCAGACCAAAGACTCTAAGCTACTTTATTTTCATATCATCAGCCACAACGAAAGCCTTCCATAACTCGCCTCCCAAAGAGGTTATTTCCTGCATTCCATCCACATTTAATCTGCCAGAGTACTATTATGACAACTGTACAGTTTAACCCTTAAACCCAAACTTATCAATCATTATCAGCGAGGAACTTCAACAAAATATTGGAATGTTGTCCGTAAAAGGCAGTGGGTGCATCAGTCTAATCCTATTCTGGAAATGTAGCTTCTTCAACGAATGGGCATGGGAAGCCAAGCACTGTGCCAGATAGAGTGCTTCAGATTCTTCAGTTGAGAAAAGATAGATGGAGATTTTGAGATTTTCAGCTGCGAATTTAAAAAGCTGCCATCTGGGTACTGGTATTGCCCAAGTGGAAATATCCCTTTGGGTTCTTGCTGCTTCCTGGCAGAAGGAAAAGATTTTTATAACAATGCAAGGAGATGCTGAAACAGAAGAACTGAAACTTTGGGATTATGTTATCTGAAAGACTGCTGCCTCCCTTACAAACCTGGCTGTCATTTATAGATCAGCTTCAGGGGCCCTGTACACAGGGTCCACCATTGGTTCATCTGATGTGTTGTTCTAGGAAGCAGGTCTGGTCAGTGGCAGCCCCATATCTTTGGAATGGTCTCCCAGAGAAGCGGGGAGGTGGTGGATAGCTCAGTTGGTAGAGCATGAGACTCAATCTCAGGGTTGTGGGTTTGAGCCCCATGTGGGGCAAATGATTTTGGCGTTGCAGGACTAGATGACCCTATGAGTCCCTTCCAACTCTACAGTTCTACAATGCTAAGTACATATCCCCACTTTGGCCAGACATATGAAACATTTGTATTTCAAACCGCATTTTCACAAAACAGTTATGTTGGGCTTTTAAATTGATGCTGTTTTTCCGTGGTGAAGTTGGATTGCGGTAGATTAATAAAAAAATGTTTTCATTCTGCTTTGCTGCTTCCTTGGGAGGGCTTTGCCATCAAAGACAGCATACACATGTCTGAAGTATATTTCCCAGCTACCTGAGGCCTTTTAATTAGAGACATTAGAAATGGAAGCTGTGGTTGCTTTCCGATTTGTTCATTGAGCATCTCTCCTATTTGCATGAAATCGGCATGGAGATTATACTTCTCTGGCTGTTTATTGAGCAGTGATTTGTGATTAGGTTATACAACAGCAGGTAAAATGACTGTTCTCCCACTCTTCCCAGTACATTTTGCCATCACTTTCCTTACCGCAAAAAGTCCAGTTTGGAAGAGCACCAAATCTGCCAGAATTGTGCAACTATAGTTTGCCACTTGTATCCCACCCAGAACATATTGACAGTCTGGAAGCACCTGTGACCCTCGGAATGTAAATAATGTGTTCTTCCCATGACTTAGAATCACAGAATAGTAGAGTTGGAAGGGACTCTGAGGATAATCTAGTCCAAACCTTTGCAGTGCAGGAATACGCAGCTGTCCCATACGGGGATCGAACCTGCAGCCTTGACGTTATCAGCACCACGCTCGAACCAACTGAGCTATCCAGACTTCTCCATCCATGGTCACATGCTGCCCCCTGGCCCAATACTTTTGAGGTGGTTTTACTTTAGTATGCTGAACTAGGTGCAGCAAGAAGCTCAGTACAGTACTGGGGAGAGACAAACAGGAGTGTAGGCCTGATTCTGTATTGTGTGCCCTACAGCTTATATCAAGGAATACCCAAAACTCCCACTGGCTGTGCTGCTTCTGGCACCTGTGGCCCCCCCCCCCCACCGTTGCCCAATTTAGTGGAACGAGGGAGCATAGGATCAGGACAGAGGTTTGTGAAGGTAGACTAGATGGCCCTTAAATAACACCGCACACTGTTACATTTGTATTTTTAATTTCAGTGTCCTGGCTGGTACTGAGTGAAATATTTCCTGGTGGGATCAGAGGAAGAGCGATGGCTCTAACCTCCAGCATGAACTGGGGTGTTAATCTTCTAATCTCCTCAACCTTTTTGACTACAACAGGTAAGGCTGGTATGGGTAAGGGTGAGCGTAATGGGTCACCACAACTTAAAATGCAGCATTAAGAAGAGTGTTTAAATCACAATAATAAGGTTGGCTTCAAATTTTGCATGTGTGTAAGACCAGGGGTTGTGCAAGTTTGCCCAATATACACGCAAAGTATATTTTCCCTAATATGTGTTTTTATATATTATTTTCACATACATGCATTTAAAGGCACATTTTATGCATACATTACTTGGCTGGAGAACTGCACTGCAATATTTAGAAAGCGCAAATTTTGTAGAATGGCAGTTTCTCCTGGTTCGCTTATTATTTCAGAAAGCATGAATTAGGTAGATTCACCTTCGATACGAACTGAATCTAGCTTCTCCCCCATGCCTGGTTAGGCTTTAGCTGACTATACTTACATAAATAAATAATAATAATAATATTTATACCCCACACATCTGGCTGGGTTTCCCCGGCCACTCTGGGCGGCTCCCAACAGATAAAACATCAATAAAACATCAAACATTAAAAGCTGCCCTAAACAGGGTTGCCTTCAGATGTCTTCTAAAAGTCATATTTGAAATGTTCTTTTAAAATCTCCTCACAAACCATTGATAAATATTTCAACTCTCCCCTGAAGACTATTTTACAAAATGGCACCCCATTTTCACTGTCCGGGTGCAACTGTGAACCTAGTTCTCTTAATGTTGAAGGAAGCAATAGGTTTGGCTCCTTCCTGACCTCTAATCCCTTGCTTGCTTCCTTCATCCACCACTATAACATTGCTGCTTCTGCACTCAGTGAACCAACATTTCTTAGCTGACAATTTTCCTGAGGGAAAACTGTTGGGAGAATTTCAAAATCCCACCCTTTGGCCCATTTCTCTAAGGTTGTTGTGACTCAACCCTTGCATGAGAGACAACGCATTCATGCACACAGCATGTCTGGGAAGCGAAACTCATTTAATGAACGATTTTGTTGCTGCTGCTATTTATTCCTGCACCATAATAGGCTGGAGCTGATGATCAGCAACATCTGGAAAGCCATAGATTTCCCCCCCCCCCCCGCTCTGCTGACCTGGACTGAGAACAAGGTTCCTAAAATAACTAATTATTTATTTTTTAAAAAATTCTTAGATCTCATTGGTTTACCGTGGGTCTATTTTGTTTATGCCATGATGAGCCTGGCAGCGTTGGCGTTTGTCGTCTTCTTCATCCCCGAGACAAAAGGATGTTCCCTAGAGCAGATATCTATGAAACTGGCAAAACAGTAAGTATGGAAGTTACTGTGTTTTTAACCGAATTCTAGTAAACGGCAGCGTGAAAAATGGCACATCCCTCCGCATGAGGTTACAAATGCTCTTGGAAGCAAAAGCTGCCATCTAGCGGGCTTGTATTGTGTCACACTTGGCAGCAGCTGAAGGGAACTGAGAGCTCACTGACACCATTCCCGGTGGTTTGTTTTCTTCATGGGCTCAGAACCTACATGCAAGCATTCCAGAGAGCAGGGCTGTCTATACTGTGGCTTCATTATTAATAAATTCTACATGAAGAGGCCACACTGAGCCCAATTCTGTGAGCTTTAACAAAGCCAGGTAAGATATTGTTACATAGCCGGGGGGGGGGGAGCTGCCCCCCTCATCAATAAACATAAATAAAAATGCATAGCAAACTGAGGTTCTGCCCTCCTGACAAAAATCCTGGCTACACCCATGGCCTTTGAAGATCTTTTTGAATCAGTGCATTGTTTTAATAGCAGAATTCACACCTCAGCTGATGCTGATATATACAGTACTATTTTTTATTCCTAACTCATTCGTAAGGTCAGCCAGGTAATATAGCCATAGTAATTTTATAGCTGGGGTGGGAAGTTAGCATTGAAAAACACTCTTGCAGCCTTGTTTCTTTTACATAAAAAATACTGTTATTTGTCTAAATTCCCTGTTCAGAATACAGTGGTACCTCAGGTTACAGACGCTTCAGGTTACAGACTCTGCTAACCCAGAAATAGTACCTCGGGTTAAGAACTTTGCCTCAGGATGAGAACAGAAATCTCGTGGTGGCGGCACGGCGGCAGCAGGAGGCCCCATTAGCCAAAGTGGTGCTTGAGGTTAAGAACAGTTTCAGGTTAAGAACGGACCTCCGGAACGAATTAAGTTCTTAACCCGAGGTACCACTGTAGTTGTTTGAGAAATTGCTTTTAAAAACATTTTCACCTGCTCTTTGTAAATGGTATCTGTCTCTTCATCAGTGTGTTCTTTGCAAAAACTAGGAGAAATCCAAATTCTATAAATTCTGGAACAATGCATATAAATTGATGTTATGTATGACCCGGAAGCTGTACGCCGGCTCCCTCAGCCAATAAAGCAAGATGAGCGCTGCAACCCAGAGTCGGCCACGACTGGACTTAATGGTCAGGGGTCCCTTTCCTTACCTTATGCAAAGAAAATGCAGATTTGTATTATTTGCGTGATTTATACAGTTCAAAACAAGCTTTGTATTTCATATTTTAACAAGCAGTTGTCTGTCACATGATGGTTGTCAGACCATATCTGATGACAAGTGTGAAGGTGACTAAATTCCATTTAATGTTAAAACTTAAAAAAAAAAAAAAAATCTAAACCACACTGGTCTAAGATGGCAAAGACCCATGCCAACCACAACTCAATTAGCTCCAAAAGCACAACTGCCAGTGTTGCCTGTAAGGGATAGAAATTCTTATAGTAAAAAAATATTGCTTTGATCCCGCATCCCTTTTCTTCCAGAAAGTATGCAACAAGTACTCAATGCTGCAGAGGGCCGACGCCAGGATCAACTGATGCCTATAGAACTTCCCAGCAAAGAAACCCATGAACAATTCTACTAAGGCAGGATGGTGCACAAAACCCACATCAATATAATTTTTAAAGGATGACAAAATGGTAGAATACTCAGAAATGCTGGCAGTACTTCCATATGCATATTCTTCTACTATAAATAAGCTTTTCTGTATTTTTTTGTTCAATGGACTCTATAAAATGCTTTTCACGATGTAACGCACAAATCTCTCCAATATCACATTATGGTAGGTGAACGGGATATACCAGAGAGAATCTTCCACCAGTGGTTTAGAGCTTGTGAATCTGACCAAAATGTGGGCATTTGTTGTTATTATTATGGGATGGGTTGTTTTTATTGTTTTTTTATGCTACGACTCACCCAGGAACCTTATGAAGAAGGATGGGCAAGAATAGTAATGATCATGATAGTAATATACCAGCCATAGGCAAACTCGGCCCTCCAGATGTTTTGGGACTACAACTCCCATCATCCTGACCACTGGTCCTGCTAGCTAGGGATCATGGGAGTTGTAGGCCAAAAACATCTGGAGGGCCGAGGTTGAGGAAGCCTGGTTTAGCATAATGACCAAACTAAAGCACAGCAGCCAAACCATGGTTTAGTGTTAAATGAATGAGCCTGCTCGACCACTTCTCTCTCCTCCAGCACATCAGTGAAGAGGGAAGAATCTGCTTTCTAGTTTGAACACACCACAAACTAACCACTGTGGCCCTTTTAGGTTGCAACAGGAAACTCTGATTAGTTTAAAGGAGAAAGCAGATGTTTCCACAGTGCAGGAGGGGAGGAAATGCACAAGCACTAAAGAAGGAGGTCCTCAACAGGCCTCTCTGCTGTTTCTTGAAAGACTATGCACACTTGAATTTTAGCAAATCTCAGGCATAGGGGGTTACAGCAGGAATGGCTAGCCTGTAGCCTTGCAGCTCCCACCATCCCTGACCATTGGGCAATTCTGCCTGGGGCTTATGGAAGTGATGAATCCAAAATGATCTGGAAATGATCTGGAAGGTCACAGATTACTTCTCTAGCAAGTATCAAGAATGATAAAGTATACTTCCATGATGGCATAGGCAGATCACTCTTAAAATAATTATTTGTGATTACTCATAAAAGAATTATAGTTTAACAACTACTGTTGTGTTCAATGACTGCTGCGCCAACCATTAAGCTGTATTTTCAAACTATTTAAAAAACTTCAGTAGGGAAACAACATCTATGGCCTAGCAGCCTTGAAAGACCTGATCCCCTTTTATCTTAAGTAGGAAGTAGCCAAAACAGATAGAATTGCAGTATTGTAGAGTGCAGGAATATTTTGCCCATGACCCTGAGATTAAGAGTCTCATGCTTTACTGACTGAGCTATCACAGCTATTCAAGTGTACTTGAAACACTACATGTTTAGCAGATATACAACATGACTCGGTAAAATGTATGAATCAGCCTGCAATTGATTGCTGTCGCTCACCATCCTTGTGCCACCAATCTGCTAGTCCATGAAAGTTAATACGGTAAGCATAATTTGATTCAGAAGCATCTTCACCTGCCACATGTGGGTTCTTTGAAACAAGAATACATTTTTTAAAAAGCCAGAAAGACCCTCTATTTTCATGACAAGTTTGGTTTCCCAGTGTTTTGTTTTCTTAACAGTTGTGTGCAGAAAAGGGTGACGGGAACTAATGTGGTTGGCTTGTAATGCCTTGGTTATTCAGTTGTCTTGAAAACGAGTGACAGAATACCTCCAGCCTTCCTCCTAAGGTTGGAGCAGATGACAGGGTGGCAACCACTCTATTCTACAGCTCCTCAACTCACCTTGCAAGCAGGCTGCTCATAGGCAGAAACTTTCTTTTTATAAATTTTGGTACTTTTATTTAAGTCTGATTAGCAAAACACATACCGTAAGGCTGCAAGTTGCACTCGCTTTGCTTATGAGATTGCAACTTTACATGGGGGTGGGGGGAATCAATAAATGGAAAGCTGGGAAAACCCACCATTCTCTGCTCTCCATTTATCTGGGCTTTCCTTGCTTAAGGAAGGGAGCAAGAAGGCTCTGGGACAGCATCCCAGAGCCCTTGCACTGCCTCCCCAAAGCCTAGTAAGTATGGTGGCAGCTTCCTCTCCAGCCTCTAGGAAGGTGGGGTGAGGGTTCTCGGGGTTTCCCTGCAACCTTCCCAGACCCTGGTAAGTGGCCCTCTGCTTCTTGGGTGGGAGGAGTTTCTGGGATTCCTGACTTTGTGTGATTTGGCCTTTGTGCCACGTATCAAACTCTTACGTAAGTGGTTGGCCCACGGTCATGAAAGTCAACACATATCAAGTAATTAATTAAGCTATCTCCCCTTATCAGACTTGCCAAATTGTCTCCCCTCCTATTTCACACACTTTTTAAATGCAAATGGTCCCAAAAGTTCTCAGGCATGCAACTTATGGTGTGTAACGTTCTATGTAAAGCCAGCAGCCAAAGATAAAGGAATTCAACGCTACACCAAAACAAATGTTCCATCAGCACAAGATATTTTTGCACAATGAAACAACCTTCCCTTGCATGCTGTTCTGGACATAGCAAAAATAGTCAGACCTCAGCATAACACTCAAATCGGAAGTGTAACACTCAAAACAGAGCACATTTGGCTTCCGAAAAAAGTTCGCAAACCGGAACATTTACTTCTGGGTTTGCAGTGTTTGGGTTCCAAGGCATTTGAGAACCAAGGTACCACTGTACTTTGTTGAATCCAGTCCATAGTGGCAGTTTCTGATTGTGGCAGCCCTTTCTCACCTTCCATTAGAATTATGGCTATATTTCTCCTGATCACCTGGTTCATGTGTCGCTATTTATTTGAGTGCATGAGAATACATTTTTAGAGAACTTTTTAGGGTTGGATGGCATTGTCTCCCCCCCTTTTTTTTACAAACATCTCCTCTGCCTTTCACGAACAAGTTGATTCTTCTGTATTCATTTCCCCCTCCAAGATTCTCATTATATTTCGCAGTATTTTGCAAAAATAAAAAAGGGCAGGCTTTCAAAAGGATTTTATTTACAGTACTCCACTGAGTTTGTTTCAATGTGAAGTACAAATCTGGACAATGAATGCTTAGCACCTGCAGCAGTCATGCCCACATTCTGTTCACCTCGAGACTTAGATACGGGAAAGAGACATAGATGCATTTTGACATATTTATTGTAGTTGGCAAGGGTACCATTTTCATTTGCCTTATGATTTACCACTCATCTGTTCCATATGCAGTTTCAATATTGGCTTTTCAAGTCCAAGATTACATGCCAAAGCCAAGCTTTCTTGTTTTGTTAGCATTTTTTAAAAAATAATTCTAACAGTGCTATAGCAACATTTGGCAAATATGTGCAGAGTTCTTTAGAAGTAGCATAGAACTGCATCCATGAAAAAATACACTTTTTCCTGAAAATTAAAATCAGTCACTAGCAGTAGTTCAAGGCAGGTTTCCTTTTAAAAACAACCCTGCATCTGGAAATAGGATAGCTGATTTGACTAACGCCAAATACTTCAGAATAGAAACGTATCTCATCACTCAAGCCTATTATGCTTAACCCTTGCTTAGACTGGCTGGAAAGAGATCCCCTAAATTCTGCATTTAGTTACAAATATATTACAATAAAACCAAATTCTGTCCTTAGAACACATACATATCTCTCATTCATGTCAACCTAGTCTGCTACAATTCACTTTACAGGCGCACAAAAATTGGAATAAAATCAGAGCAGAAGATCACACTAACATTGCTCTAGTTACTTTGCCAATATACAATTGTTAATAGAAAAAGGAGAAGGAACGTAACAGAACAGGTATAAAGAAAAGTTTTGCAGACTTTTATTTGTGCACGTTTTATCAGGTGAAAAAGGGTAACGTCTACAGCTTCTTTGGTGCCCAACAGTCAGCGTACAAAAATGTAAAGAATATTCACAAATAAAAACACAAGCTCAACCTATAGAAGTGTTTTCAAATTTAGTGCATATCATGACAAATCTGCTTATGAACACACAGAAATTACTGCAGAAATAAATAGAATGTCTTGTAAAAAGCAGCAATTTCGTATCTTGTAAACGTTTGTTTTTACAATACAGCACTGTTCCAAATAAAATCCAAAAGGGACTGGAGTTTATCACCGCGGCCAAGAGTTTGCACCTCCTCAGCTGTGTTGCTCCAGTTGTCCTTTTCTTCCCCACCTTCTTTCTTTTTGCTATTAGTCCAATGCGCAGCAGTCTTATAAAAGGTGCTTGGTTAGGTCGCCTAACCGTGAAGTGGCAACTTATAAAATTTCTTTCCTGCTTTCAAACACAAATGGATAAATTTGTTCCACTGCAGTGGCAACAGCCTTTACGTTTGGCCCTGAGGGTAGGACAAGATAAAACATTAGAATAAGGATACACACAAAAGCTAACTCTATGGCTTCAGTTCCTTGATCGTGAATATTTTTTGAACTAAACTCTAACAAAACCTGAATCGACCAATATATATCAACATTGCTAGCATTACTTAAAACTGCTACATGGCAAAGTAGGAAGTAAATTCAGACTAACCTGAAAATGCTTGTTCAGCACATGCCACACCTCACCACATCCCACATCACACCTGTGTACATTCTGGTCTGATATCCATTGTCTCACACTGACAACCAGGAAACAGAGAGGCCAGAAATCCACACAGGAAGTGGCAGAACAAAACCCAGCAGAGATGCTTTCATTTTTCAAAGAATGCTTCCTGCACTTAGTATTCTAAATTGTTTGGGACACTGCCATCGGCAAGTCCAGCGGTCCAACACCTAACCCAGTTGTTATACTTTTGATTTAAGTTTTGAGCGCCCTGTTGGCTTTGAGATGAGACACCTTAAATCAAAGTATCTCTTCTTAAATATGTGGCAATCCTATTTGCTAATGAGTTAGCTCAAGCAACCACCGAAATCTCCAAAACAAATCATAATCCAACTCTCCTTTTAATGTACAACAGGCACGTCCAACTCCCAAGAGAGTGCAATCTACTCACAGTAGAAAGAGACCGGGTGTGATCTACCCATTGTCACTGCCAGGATTTGTTGAGCTTTTTGCGGGGGAGGGTTGACCAAAGTTTGTGTACTGCAATTTGCAATTGACCTGGGACACACCTACGACTGACCTGTTGGACATGCCTGATCTACAACAATAGTTATCAGATGGCACAGGTACACAGAAATTAGTGGGAAGTCATATACACATGCTGACCTTATCAAACACTTAATTACCTGAGCTACAACACGGAGAAAGTTACTTATTCACAAAAAGGTGAATACCTGTAACTGTGATACTTCCTGTTGAAAAAATCTGTAAAGTAGCTCTGAGAGATTTTATTCTGTAGCACACTGCAGGATGAAGCTCCGGTTCATAACTAAGGAGAAATGCAAAGTTCGCTTTTAAAAATGAAAATGCAAAATAAAAAGAGAGAGAGAGAGAGAATAGATGTAAAATCTACTATACCTAGCATGGGGTCTGTTGCTTTTTGTGAATTCCGGCAATCTGATTTCAAAGGGCATATTGCATACTGCTAAAACATTGACAACTTTAAAATCTGTAAAAATCACCTTTTAGAAAGAAAAAGAACACAAAGGAAAATATTAGGAACTAATCTGCAAGCCAAGGACTTATGCACATTTTGGCTTCATTTTAAATAAAAGGCCAACAGTGGCTTAATACAACTTTGAACAAAAATACAACATAAAGGGCAATTAAAACTCTATAATGGTTAGAAATGTTTGACAGTTCTAGGGCAAGGTAAGTTTCTTTTCAGGTCTCATTACACCTAATTAAGTTAGTGTAATTTATATTGGAATTTTCTTGCTTACTAACAATGTACTAATATAGCTTTCAATTACCTGAAGGAGACCACAGACAACTATGAAAGGCTACATTTAGGCACAATAATTCCAAAGCTAAAGATAATAAGTCCTATTGATTTCAATGGGAGAGAATTAAGCACATTAAACCTAAAAGTGCTCAATTGTTGCTAGGGGTGCCATTTACACCTTTTCAGAAAGGATGTCAACTTCCAGTTAACTGAAGTGCATTGACATCAGTTCAGTTCATAGTTTATACTAGTTGCTACAATGGCTGTCAACAACCACAAATTCT